TGGAAATTTATGAAACTATTAGATTATTTATTTATAATTATGTCATTCCACTCGTAGCAATATGTATCTTTGGACTTCTTTTTTTAAGAAATAATAAAGAAGTAAAAGAAAGAGAAATAATTGTAAGAGAAATAAGAGTAACCGAAAAAGAAAAAGAAAAAGATGAAGAACAATTAAATGAAGAGCAAGTAAACGAGAAAGAAGTCCAAGAAGTTAAAGAAGTCACAGAAGTTAAAGAAAGAGAAATCAAAATACAAGAAAACGAAATCAAAGAAGTCATAGAAGTTAAAGAAAAAGAAAACGAAGTTAACAAAGTTAACGAAGTCAAAGAAAAAGAAGTTAACGAAATTAACGAAGTCAAAGAAAACGAAGTTAACGAAGTCAAAGAAAAAGAAGTTAACGAAATTAACGAAGTCAAAGAAAACGAAGTTAACGAAGACAAAGAAACAAAACAAGAAAAAATCAAAATAAAAACTGTGACTTCAATCTTAAAAAAAAACGATTATGTCGAATCTCCTGTGAGCGATAAATCTCGGGAATTTTTTCCTCGCTCAACTCAGCTGGCTAATTCTTCAGTTTCGTCTTTACCCGATTTGTCCCAATTCGTCTTTACTTCTAAAGATATCACAATCGCTAAAAGTTCCTTGGATTTAGTACTTAAATATTTCAAAGAATCTAAACTTAATCGAGATATATGTTCTAAAGGATTAGAAATTGCTCAAAGAAGTAAATTAATATTCGATGGAATTGCAAAAGAAATTTTGAAGCGACAACAGTCTTCTTCGCTACCAAAAATAGCCGACACAGAAGCCACCACTACAGGTGCCACCGCTACAGGTGCCACCACTACAGGAACTACCACTACAGAAGCCACCACTACAGGAACCACCACTACAGAAACCACCACTACAGGAACCACCATCACAGAAACCACCACCACAGAAACCACCACCACAGAAACTAAACTTAAACTTTCTCTGTCTTCCAAATTTTCTCAATCTCAACCGCCTACAAATTTGACACCCTCAACTTCTGGAAGTTTCGAAAGTTTCGTCGAACAATGTGATCAATTTTATAAATTTGGTGATTGTCTATGGAATATTTCTACTTTCTTTAGTTATTCTATAAATGAAGATCTTGAGGTAACTTTTCGAACGTATAAAATATAATAATTTTATGTTAACACTTTTAATAGTATTTATAATAATAATAATATTTTTTATATTTTTATAAATGTTTTTTTAGATGAGAGAAAAGATTTTAGATCTCATTGAAGAATTAGACACTGCCACTATTGAATTAAATGAAAAGATAGAAGAGTGGAAGTTGAAAAATGGTAGTAGATGGGGTAGCGTTAGAAATAAAATCAAAGTATTAGCTAAATTTTCAATAATGAGAAATAATTCAATCGCGCTTTTAAAGGAAAAAGATATTAAAGATTGTAAAATTCCAGTGGATATATTAAAAACTCAGAGACAAGATATTGAAAATTCTAGTGATACTATCACCAACAATTCAGATGATAATAAACCAATATTAAAAGGAAGTAGAAATCATATTCGACA